AACATATGTCATTTTTAAATTTACAAATGACACATGTCAATTTCGAAGTGACATAAATTGAAAAATGACGCGGAACATATATTCCTATCCCTTTTATCGATAAATAAGTTACTAACGTTAACACAACGATAATGTAGCAATCTATGTTGCGGATTCACAGGACTCAAAAAAAAAAATTACAAAGATCGTTATAGCGCATAATACCAAAATTTTTTAAATTGTTCTAGAAAATTACTCCGTTATAACGAAGGCCAACTGTAAATCGAAAATATCTTTTAATATTTTTTACTCATCAAGATCAAAATCGCTGAATTATTAAGAACTGTTCATATCGATATGTTGCATTTAGTTTTATTTGTATTTTTTATTATAAATAGAGTATGTATATTTGGGAATTTTTGAAGACTGTAAAAATAATGCCCTACAATTGGTGCATAACCAAATCAGCATGTATAATTGCATAATAAAATACTTTCAGTAGTCAGGCTTTATTTCCATCTTTTACGTGCCTGCTGCCAGTAACAGGTCATTAAAGTTAGGCGAATTCAAGCCTACGGGCATCCGCTACTGGTATCAGGCACGTGTATGAACCTAGTATCACCAATCTAAAAGGCAAAAGTATCGATTTTGATAGACCAATAATGCTCCCTAAATTGGGGTGATGTTCTTGATGCATTAATACACGTATTTCTGTAAAATTTGAATTTTTTAGGAATTTAAGTAAAGTTATCTTGATGACCAACTTGACAAATCTGTAGAATCAAAACAAAAAAAATCATTGAATTTGATTAGTGGTTGCTGAGATATCTTCGCTTAACAGCTGCAACAAAATATCTATCAAAGTAACGGTCGCGCAAAATATTTATAAAGATCAAAAAATGGCCGTGACAAAATTTTTATAAATTTTGAGCGAAATTATTTCAGCAACCATTTAACTAAATTCGATAAAAATTTTTTTTTTGATTCTACAGATTTGTAGAATCAGAATGAAAAAAATATTGATTAAGTTAAATTTACGGGAATATAATGCATCAATAATGCCATTCCAATTTAGAGTGCATTGTAGATCTATCAAAAAAGATATCAAAATCGATACTTTTGCGTCTAAAGATTTCACAGATCATGTGATTTTATTGCGAAACCAAGAAAAAATTTTCTCTAAGGAAAACATTTCGAGGTTTAGAGGTCTATAGTTTTACCAAAATTTTGCAAGGAAAACTTTTTGATAATTCGCAGAAGGCAATTCATAAACAAAATTTCGAGTTACGGACGATTTTTAGTTTCTTGAACTTTTTCATGTTACACCTGATCTCGAAATTTGGTTGGCCTGCGAAATTTTTTAGACTGGTGATTGTAGAGTTGTTCAGGCACGTGGAAGATACAAAACGTAGAGCTTGTCTGTCAAAAGTAATTACATATTACTAATTCCGGTTTATGCACCAATTGTGGAATACTATTTTTATAGCCTTCAAAAATTCCAAGCACCATCCCCTCTAGGGATGGGCAAAGTAATTTATTAAGTAATCAATACTTATTTTTTATCGTTTAACTAATATTAAGTAATCTTACTAATGTTAAGCAAATTCTTACTTATTACTATCACATGATGATAACGGTAAGAAATGATGTTAATTAAAGCTGAGATTAAATAACCATGTAAATTTTTGTCACTAAAAATAGAATTATCGTAGAATGACTTATTATCAAAAAATTAGATAACATTAAGTAATATTAAATAAGAATACTTAATAAATTTTCCATCTCTAATCCCCTCTACCTCATTTTTTAAATGCCAGATTAGCGGAAATCACAATGAGATATTTAGCAAAGTTATTTCCGTAATCTGACATTTAAAAAAATGGGGTAGGGGGACAGTGCTTATTTACGGTAGAATATGGTATAAATTTAAAGAGCAACGGGTCATATATAGTACAGTTTAAAGAACTTTTGAGGATGTAACAGGAATACAAATTCACGCTTAAATTCGAGCCCAAATATATACATACATGACTTTCACAAATGCTCACTTTTTCTTTTTGTTCTCTAAGTGCACGTCGTTAAAGTTCGATCCCAAGAGCGTCACTTATGAAGCCTTAACTACTTTTCATTCTATTTCATGAATCGTATTGTATTTAAATATTTTGACCAGTCACTCATTTAAATATATTCAGAATAAGTATCAATCAATACTAAACAAAAAGAAAAATCAAAATAGGTGTATAAGCCAATCTAACTTTTAAAAAAATCCTTTCAAAAGTTGTATCATAAAGTTTGGCGAATTATTATTTTTGATCAAATAAGAATTCTAGACATTTTAAAAAAAAAACTAGGAAGATAAACAATTAAATTGTATTGCAAAATATTTGAACGATCTCTTTTGATCAAATACTTTTAAATAGCTGACTGACATTTTCAAAGTAAAATTGTTATTAGAATATAATCTAATTTTAAAAACCCTAAGTTGATACAAGAATGTTTACAAGAAAATTATGAATTTTGGTTAAAAAAATTTGTATTTTGAAATAATTTTTGAAATGATCTTTTGACCAATAATATACATCTATACATATTCCAGGATTCTAAAAAAGTAAGTTTTTGCACCAAGATTAGTTTTTTTAACGAATTATGACCTTATCACCAACCCAGAGCACAAATAAAACCGTTCCAGTTAAATAGAATAATACAATCAGATTCCAAATAAAATCCCAATTTTTAAATGAGTTATCCAAGATTAATCCTGTTAATGCAACTCCAAACATTCCCGAAATCACTGCAGACGTATTCCCTATTCCCCATATTACTCCTGCATATTTTGGTGCTATATCAAGCTGTCAAAGATAATATAAATTATTTTTAAAATTTAGAATCAGAGTGAATCAACTTTATTAAAGTTACCTGAACCATATGAACACCAATAACTTTAAATGACGCTATTGCACATCCAATTGTTATTAATAAGATTCCCTCTATCGGTGATGTTGATAGGTATACGGACTGTAATTTTTTTCAAAATAATAAATCATACTAAAACATGCCAATAAAGTATTCACTTTGTATATTGAATTTAAAAGTAAATATACTGTAAATACTTACAATTAAAAGAAATATTGATAGACCAAAGCCTCCAATAATTTGCGCACCTCTCCTTACCGTAATCACCCGAATATTTAATTCGTTGATTAGATAATCACCTATTATACCAACTACAAATCCCATAATTCCTTGTGATATATTCGGAAGAGCTAAAAGAAATATACTTTTCATACGTTAGCTTATATATTTAGTTTAATGTAATTTAATAATATTATGAACAAACATGTCAGAAATTTATGAGGATATTCTCTATATTTTGAATAACATACCCATAAAATACCCGAGATTTTTAATATCTACTCCAAAGTTGTCTGAATAATAAGTTGGTAACCAATTAAGCATTATATAATAACCTAAACAGTTGCAGAATTGTGCAACTAGTATTGCCCATATTTCTCGTCGAGAAAAAATTAATTTCCATGGAATTTCCTCTTTACTCGAATTTGATATTTCCAAAGTTTCATTCGACGCATTGCCAACCTTAAGGTAATTTTGATCACTACTAGCTTTTAACAGTTTAGTATTCTCATCTTCAATTGCTGTTATTGTTCTTGATGATTCAACTTCAGGATCAATATCTTCTTCAATTGCTGTTATTGTTCTTGATGATTCAACTTCAAGATCAATATCTTCCACTATTGACACTCCAGACTCAAATTGATTAAATCTTAAACCATTTCTATTTACATCATATTCACGCTTTAAAATCAATGATAATTCCCCTTCCGATATTCCGGGATAATTAATAGGACTACTAGCACCTAAAAAATGCCATGCAATAGACCAAATACATCCGACAAGTCCAAATGTCCAAAAGCTGCTTTCCCATCCGAGAGAGCTTGCAATTAACAATGATGATATAGGCATGGCAACTACAATTCCTATAAAACCTGATGCGGTGATCGCTCCAACGGCTCGAGAACGTTCCTCCGGTGGGAACCAAACTGCAATTAAAGAGTGAATACAAGGCAAACATGCACCTTCCCCAATTCCCAAAAAAATTCGACACAAAATCAGACATGGTAGATTATATTTAGCGGCGATTGGTGTAAGGAATGTAAATATTGTCCATAATGCGGCAGCTGTTGATGGCATAAAAATATTAATCATTACAAATTTGAATTTAAAAGAAATTAAATTTGTCCATAACTATGGTTAAGATATAAAAATATTAATCATTACAAATTTGAATTTAAAAGAAATTAAATTTGTCCATAACTATGGTTAAGATATAAAATTCGATATAAAACTAGCAATTCCAATTAGATCGATTAATTGTTCTTATCATAATCTTTCAATTCAATTTTGTTACTATACCGATTACTTACCAATACTAAGCACCCACTTCCCTCCAAATCTATCTGAAAGTACTCCACCTATAATTTGAGTGGACAAATAGCCCACAAAAAATGATGATAAAACAAATCCTTGTGTGGTAGAAGACCAATCAAATTCCAATGCCATCGGAATTATGGCAATGGCCATGTTTGACCTATCTAAAGAAAAACAATAACTATTAAGAAAAGTTAACAAGAATTTTCTTCGATAAAAGAAAAATCATAATGATACCTGCAAAGTTGATAATAACACCCAAAATGCAAAGCCCAATTATTATAACTCGTTTCGGTATATATACTGACAACAAACTCATTTTTAAAATATTGAAAATCATTTAAGTTTCAGAGATAATGTCTTTTTCTAATTAAAGTTTAATAATATCGATATGATTTTGCTTCAGTGTTTCGTCATTAATTATATAAAAAATTTCGAATATTTAACATTGTTATGACGAGCTTTGACAGGAAAAAGATTCTTGCTTTTTTATATAGATCACAAATAATGACTCGATAAATTAAATTATTTATAAATTACGTTTGATGCAAGATGCAAAGAACATTTACTTACTGTCCAAAGAATTGAGGGACAGGGATGATATGTATTGCTTAATTGATCATGACTTTAATATTTCTAATTAATAAGGAAAAAATGAATTGTAGATATTGTCAAAGTTGAACTTACGTTCAAAGAGATTTTGAACACTGCGTACGATACGAAAATATTTAGTAGATAACTCTGTTTGTTAATTGGAAATTCGGTAATATTTTATGTCAAATTTTCAATCAAAGAACTTTGGAATTTTAGAATCTTCAAAGTTTTGGAATTCTAATCTTTTTTTTTTTTCAGAACTTAAATTCTGAATAAATTATAGAAGGCAACATTGATTTATCGAAATTTTTTTTTTAATCAAGTGATCCACAGGAAACTTGTTCGGAACTTGTCTAAAACCAGTCCAGCTCTCACATATATGAATAGAGTGCCATTTTTGACACATTAAATAAAAGTCAATAAAATGCGAATCAATAACAATACACCCTGAGTGATGGTACCTTAGGTAAAATTCGCTAGTTAAGTGTCGACTTTGTCGATCAATAATGGCTTGTTTTTGGACCAGACTTTTTATGGATTGGGCCGGGACAAGACGCACCTAAATTTGGATTCTCGCATTAATGCACTTACACGAATTTGTATAACAAGGTTTTATTAAATTTGGGACTAACCGAGTACATCATGAAATTATACCAGGAACGAAGTACAAAGTACGTAGGTATGGTTTACAGGCAAGTATCCCTTTCGTATTTGATTGGATGATCTATCCTCATGATTTTGTGCGACGATGTGTATGTATATTTAAACATTAAATGGATGCATGCATGATCCTTTTTTTTCATTTAAACCTATGATTGACCGTGAAACGTCTTATTTATTGGATACCACTTTACTCGTGATCCGCCACTTTCCTTTTTGACTGATTTTATTTATACGTATTTATATATGCTTATACTTCTGTACTACTGAACTGCTGGCTTGCCCCAGAGATTTTTATCGTACTCATTTTTTTATCATGTGATCGCAACTTTATTCGCTTTTGTTTTGATTGGCTGTTTAATACTATTTTAAAAAATACTATTACCTGACTATTTGAGTGACGGGCAGAGAAAACCGGGAAATCTAAAAATAGTTTTTTTTTTATACAGAGAAGTGCGGTATTTTAAAAAGTTATCAGTAAAATACGTGATTGAAGAATGAACAATTAGAATTACATGTTATCGGGATTTTTCAGTGTTGTATTAAAGTCCGCACTTCCTTGTATAAAAAAATCTATTTTTAGATATCCCGGTTTTCTCTGCCCGTCACTCATTTATAGTAGGTTCTCTTAGCCTAAAATGTCAAAAAAAAAATTATGATAGTGTTTAATTCTTTATAGAATCTTTTTTTTTTTTACAGCATATCATACACAAGTAAATAACTCTAACAAATGTTAAATTCTAACCAATCCAAATATTTTGTTTGTCAATACAGCAAGTAAGTTCTTATAGAATTTTTAAATTTTTTTTTTTTTTACAACATATTAAGTACAATTAAATACTCTAATAAATGTTATTCTAACTAATTAAAGTATTTTGTTTATCAATACAGCAAGAAATTTTTTTTTTTTAAGATGACCTTTTGGGTCTTTTGACTTTATTTAACAATGGTAAATGTGGTTCAGTGAACCATTACAGGAAGAGCATACAATTGGCTGCATGTGTAATTTTTCTATATTACTTATTTAAGGAGTCCACCTAAAGGTTCCTTATCAATTGCCATATTTAACATTCTTGTTTAGATATTTCACTTTAAATCCTCTGAACTTGCAAACCTGTTAACTTCACTGGATCATACCTAATACTCAGATTATTGTTTCAATCTTAGGAGTATTTTATCTTCAAGATAAACTCCCAGAGTCTTCTGTACCTATTTTTATGGTTGATTTAAATATTACTATAATAGAACCAACACTTGCAATCAGAGAGTTTAATTATTAAATCATTATACTCTTGTAGAGTTCCTTAGACCCCAGCATCTACTTCACAATATAACTCTGATATTTTAGTATATCTTTGCCTTTTCACTTGTCTTTTTACCAAACTTTTAATCTAGATAGTTTATATAGGATTATGATCAGTTCTTTGATATATTAGATTGATTTGATATCCTTTTCCTTTAGTTCATTCTGATAGTTTAATTGGTAGTATCTTTAAGGTTTCTAATTCAGAAGTTCTTGCCCATCCAACTACTATGACTGGGTACTACAATCTTAATATTCATTTTTTTGTACTAGCTTTTATAGTAGGGTCATCAAAAATTCAGTTACCTCTTTACTTAAGTCTTCCCAAATAAACTTCTTATTACTTAATTTCAACAGATTTATACAGTCACAAGGACTTATCTAGTATTTGTACCATCTGATTTGTCAGTTTGCATTTCTTTGTATAATTTCAACATTGCACAGATGTCTTATGATCTGCCAATCATACTAATGTAACTGCTATTACAGGTATTCTAATCTAATTATTAGTAATAGCTGTCATAATATAAATATTACATAGGTAATTATTTAAATTTTTTACTATAAATGGGATTTGAACATCTAATCTACTACTTGGAAAGTTAATAATCTGACTATTTCACTAAGTCATTACACTCTTCTTTTTTTTTTACAACATATTATATATAAATAATTATTATTAATATAATTTGTAAGTTTTTTATATTTTTTTTTATAATATATTATATACAGATAAATATTAATAATATGAGTTAATGAAAAAATTGTAATTAACTAGGTTGATCTTTTTACTAGTATAATTTTTCTAGTTAGAATTAGTTAATATATCTATATTAAATATATAAAAGATTATTAAATAACTTTTTTTTAAATCTAATAATATTAAATTATTTAATTTTTATTTAAATTAATTTAAGAAAATATTTTTTTTAGTTTAAAAGATGATTTTGCCTGTATGTCTTTTTATTATTATTAGAATTTTTTCTTGATATTAAGGTGATCTCTTTAGTTTTTTGATTTTTATTAATGATTTTATTAGTAATATAATTTAATAAATTACTATAGAAGAATATACAATTAGCTACATATATAACTTTTCTATATTACTTATTTAAAAAGTCTTTCTAAAGGTTTCTTATTCATTGTTGTACCTAATACCTCTGCTTGGATGTTCAACTCTAAACTTTTTAAATTTATAATCTGTATTAACTTACTAGGTCATATTCAAATTCTCAGATTATTATTTTAATCTTAGAATTATTTTATTTTTAAGATAAACTTCTTAAAGCCTTTTGTATTTATTTTTACAGTTAATCTAATTAACTTTATAGTAGAACTAATACTTGTGGTTAAAGTTTAACTATTAAATTATTATGCTCTTATAGAGTTCACTAGATTTTAGCATTTATTTTATAGCATATCTCTAGTATTTTAGTATATTACTAAATTTCACTAGACTCACAATCTAGATAGCATATGTGAAACTACAATTAGTCTATTAGTATATCAGATCAGTTTGATATTTTTTTTTTCTGATTCATTTCAGTGATCTAATTAGTAGTACCTTTAAGACTTTCAATCTAGAGATTCTTGTCTGTCTGGTTACTAAAATCTTGATATCTGTTTCTAGTAGTTTAGTCTTTACAGTAGCATTATCAAAGATTCAGCTATCTCTCTACTTAGATCTTTTTAAATAAACTTCTTGTTACCTAATTTCAACTAATTTATATAACTATAAGAACTTATTTAGTATTTATATTATCTGATTTATCAGTTTATATTTCTCTATATAACTT